TCATCTTCAAACTTATAGAAAAGCATGTAGAAGCAGTGCACAATCTGCAGGAAAACATCTATCCAAAGACGTGCAATAGGTTGGTTGTGCACAGAGAGGCCTGTAATGTGCCTTGCATGTCACTGTCCCTGCAGAAGGTTCATTAAAAGAGCAACCATAGTGTTCTCCCCTCCGTGGTCCACTCTGGAGGGTAACCCACACAGACAGGTTCTTCAAAATACGTCAACACTGTCAAAGCTGGTTAAAGCACTTGATGTAACTTATTAGTCTAGACTTCCCATTAATACCAGCATGTGTTACAAACCCCCACCTATAAAACATGCAATGAATGAAAATAAAAAAAGAATAATGGATTACCTCATTATCTGTAAACTTGTACAGATAACTCTATTAGATTTTCACCAACAGGTTCACAATGAATAAAAATGTTTTGGATGAGAAAAACATTGAGATTTAAAAGAGGAAGAGGAAGGTGATGAAAGACAGAAAGAGGCTGGATTTGAAAACGTCATATGACGTCAGATACTTGTACTTAAAGTGGACGTGAAAGGGTCTATTTATGATATGGTCTGTACAGACTGAAGCGTGCACTATTTTTTTTTAAATAAATATAAAATGATAAAACATTAAATTATAAGAGATTTATTGTTGCTACTGACTTGTGCTTTTGCTATTGGCTCACGGCCATATTGATATTATGTCACTGGCTACGTCATACGGTTGGATGGAGAGGCAGTGCAATGGGTTGGAAATGCTATGCATTTAGTTTGAATTTTAACAGATACCACCTTTTTAAAAATCAAGATTATACCCCATGTCAGTAGATGGTGCTATTGCACTGCTATGGATCTACATGTAGATATCTTATTCATATATTTTAATGTTTCAAGAATAACAAAACAGATTACCTGCTAGAATTGAATTCTTTTGGGAATCAGGAATTGTTGCTGCAGCAGGCAGGAGCCTGGAACCCATGGCTGGAGCTGGAACTACAGCTCCCATAATCCTGTGGGAGTGACGTCACCAGGAAGCATTGAAGCACAGCCGGCTCGCCAGTGTTGTTTACATCACGTGCAGGGGAGGTGGCGTCATTTTGTGGAAATTGAATTGTTTCATTCCTAATGTTCAGTGCAGATATCATTCAGCAGAGGGGACAGGATGGAAGCCTCAGCAGATCCAGGCATGCTTCTTCTGCCTCTGAGGTATAATATCTTCAGGTGTATTAGAAATTGATGGAGCAGCGAGGCTTTGGGAGGAGGCTAACGCTGTTACCAGTGTTTGTTCGGCCTCACTGAGTTTTTTCTTTCTCTTGCTGAGACGCTGAAGCAACTGGTTGCAATGCTGCAGCAGCAATGCGAGCAAAGGGAGTGATGGGACATTTTTCTCTCCTTAAATAGGCCACCTAATAAGGTGGGTGTGTATTATAGATGGTTGTTGAGTGAGGTATGTCACAAAATTGAAGCAGGGTTTGCTTCATTTGCTGTCTTTGAGAGGTCATCTGTGCATCACCCTTGCTCCTGCATCCCCGGGACCTATCAATAATATTGTTTAGCCCAATTAATTAACTGTTGCAAGCAGCAATGTCATTTTTATTGAAATAAAACTTTGTGTCTTTTGTAATCAAATGCAATTAAATCAGAACAAATATCATCTTAACAATTATAAAGTAAATTACCTGTGGGCGAGGATTCTTGGTGGACGTCATCACATTCTCCCTCACTCCTTGAACAAATTCCACTTAATGATGACTGTACAATAACTGCTGGCAGCCTCTCATCCTGTCAGATCTGTTGTTCCTTGTCCTCCTGTTCCTTTCTTTTGGTCTCAGATTTGTTTTTTGGCAACAATTTTTGTTGTGTTACTGTCCGGCCCTCAGGGGACATTCACCGGCTGATTAATTGCAGCCCAGGCTTTATTCTTTTGAAACATCATCACTCAGGAGGACACACTATTTAAAAGTGTGCTTTTTGTGTCTTCAAACTGCAACACAATTCTTCAGTCTTTTACCTTTATGGCATCTCTTATAACTTCAACTTCTCTGTTCAGCACAGCACTCTCTTCACGATACACCAACAAATGTCTTTATAGCCGTGGTCTGAATTCATTCAGTTCTCTTGGGTTACTTTTTTCGGAATAGATATGATAGTTTTCCACATTGTTGGTATCGGACCACGTTCAGCACACATCTGAAAGAGTGTTGTGAACACCTCACTGAGCACGTCAGTGTGCGTCCACAGATGAGTCAGGGCCAGCCGCTTTAACCCTCTTTGAATGAAGTCGAAAATGGCACTAGAAATAGTCTCACAGCATGAGGATATTACTCACCAAATCAGACCTGTCAAAACGAGAGAAAATGAATTAAAAACATTTTCCAAATTGGCATCATCCACACCACTTACACTGAAGTCATGCCTGGTCTCACAGGTAGACTGATTAATTGATGCCATGGATTTTATTCCTTTCCAGGAAGCTCTGAGGTCGTCACTATAATATTGATTTTCAGTTTTATTTCTGTTCTTCATTTTGGCTTTCCTTATTTCGTCCCCAACTTCCCTGGAGATATTTTTCCAGTACTGGTGTCTTTGCTGGTTCAGGAAGAGAAGAAGAAAAATTGTTCAATAAACAATAGCGAGATATTTAATGTAAAGATCTGAGTTAAGGTTAAAAGCACTTTTATTCAAACTTATGTAACTTAATTAATAACACTGTTTATTCATAAAGTAAGAATACAGCTTTTTTCAGTAATAGAAAATATATTCAGACGCTCTGGCTAAGAACAACATATCACATCAATCTGGGAAAATCTCATATAAGTTAAAGTTCTGCTTTCATAAACCCTAAGTCAAAGTATAAAGGCTGTATCAGCAAAACGTACATATTTGACTGTCAGTGAAATTGTTCCTGTCAGTGTAACATACGTTCACTTAATTACTGCTGGGTTCGTATAAATGTTAGTTTACTACTGTAGACATTTAAAGTTGAGCTAACATTATATTCTGTGGGATAGTTTAATCTTCATCAATACATTTATTAAGATGTGGTCAAATCTACAATTGTGATCTGAAAAGTAACTAGTCACTTCAGTTGCACAGTATCTGCATCTGAGATGTACAGAGTAGAAGTATAAAGCTTCCTAAAAAGGTAAATAAATGTACAAGTACCTGGAATTTGTCAGTAAGTGAGTGAAAGTTTTTAAATCCATTCTATTGGTTATTTTAAATATGAAATTGTATTTTAGAATTAAAATTACATAACCATACGCAAAACAACCTTTAACTAATTAAACATTGTAGGTGGCTAATTGTACAGGGATAGACAGATGAAATTGTTTATTTACAACATTTATTTACCTGCCCATAGTTTCCTCTCAGCCTGAGATGTATAACATGGTGACGCTGGCGGTGAAGCATCTCCAGCTCCTCCAAAAACAAAATAAAGAAAACGACTTCTGGCTCCAGTTTTTTCAGATTTTTTCCGTAACTCTGTTGCTCGGAGACGGCTGTAAGGGCAGAACAAGCTGGTGACACAATAAGACCAGACTGTCTCATTTCGGTTCGGCCGACATTGTCCACGCAGTTGTCGACGGTTGGCCCCTGAATTGAGACACAGCTGTAGTCTGTGTGTTTCCATTTCTCAGTTTTTCTGTTGATACATATCATTTATGAATGTACCTGATGTTTGTACACTGATTGCCAGCACCAGAGATCATAACACCATTTTGTTTGTTTTACATTTAATTCATGTTCACCACCAAAGCTTCTGCATTTTGGTTCTCTCAGACACACACAGGTTGCCTGAGCATATCACCATATTTTCACACATCTCACACCATCACAGGGGTCTGCAAAATCCTACACTAAATATTAGCCCGGGAAAGCAAATCCACACAGAAACAGCAATAAATGTGAGCTCAGCTTAGTATTTGTGGTCAGATTTTAAAAAACATTTTCTGAATGTGCAGATATTGTTAACCTGTATTCTAACTTCATAGCTTTATGTCTTTATAATTTCATTTCAGCAGATACTTTATTATTTATGCACTGGTTGATTTTTATAGGAAGATTTAGTGAAAACTTGTCTTGCACTGGACACTGCTGGAGCAAGGTGAAGGACTCGAGCAGGACTCAGCACAAATTTGTAAAAGTGAATTAAGAAGTCTTTAAGTTCAGTTATCAAGTGGTCATTCACATACAGGAGGCATCAGACTTGAGACAGGGTGAAAAAACAAAGCTCCATCATAGACTTACTGAGATCATACCAGGAAACTGCTGGAAGGCGCCGGGAAACCGTCGAAATAAACCGGTGAAGAGGTGACAACACGTGGTAGAAATACAGGAAGCAACAGACAGGTGAAACGAATGAGGGCGGGGCTCGTAATCAGCGCGGAGCGAAAATCAGGAAGTAAAGTTAACTGAAATGAGACACAAGGGTAAGTAACAAAATAAAACAGGAAGTGAAAAAAATGAGCGGGTGCAGAAAAAAACATAACTGCTGGAACTGAGATTTTTAAGAATAAGGTGATACTATTATGAGACGAACATTTTTTCATTACAAGAGTAAATTAATGATGTAATTAATGCAGGTGACAGGCTGAGCAGAAGGAGAGGGAAATGCGAAGAGGGGAATAATGCTGACACCTCATGATATTATGACCATATTATAATATGGTCATAATATCATGAGGTGTCTGAAAAATGTTACATTTACGAGAATAAGGTCATAATCTATTATTTATGAAACCTCTATTTAATTACGTAACAATATGCTTCTTATTGCTCATTGTAATGGAGGTGACAGGCTGATCTTCTGATACCCCCCCCTTAAATTGAATGTAATGTAACGTATGTAATCATGTAATCATGATTTTATTTTTGTAAATGTAAAAAAATGTTCTCTTAATATTACAAGTTTTTATGCTCAAAATCTTTTTCCCTTTTTCCCCTCTGTCGTATGAGATGAAGGTTTAAGATCATTTGCACTATAAATAACTTAGGCAACAGTAAAAACAAAGGTTTTATTTGGTAATGTTGAACAGTAGCAACATCCACAAAGCTATAAAGAAATGTGAAACAACCAAAAAAACTCACACCTGTCAGTGTCTGAAGGCACAATTTTAAGGGGAAGGTTCTTGAAAAAGCAACATCAATCGTTTATACTTCCACATTTCAAAACAATTCAAGTAAAATGGCTTTGACCTCTAGATTGGGAAGGAATTGTAATTTGCTCAGCAGTACAATAATATTCAGTGGGTCTTGTGTAGTCTAAAACAATTTAGGGCACTTTCATACCTACCTCGTTTGATCTGGACCCTCGGACTTTTCAGTTTAGTCTGAACCAAAATAACATACATTAAAGATGACTCAGACCACAGTCCAGACAAACAGAACAAAATCGAGTCAGACCAAAAGAGGTGGTCTCAGTCTGGATCAATCGAACCATGGTTCAGAGCGTTTGCAGTGTGAAAACATTATTTGGGAAAGTTCATACTTTCTGACCTATTGCAGTAAGTTGACACAGCATAAAACAATAAAAGCAGAAGCGACTCACAGGATTTCTTGTAGTCTTTGCCAATGTAATGTTTCAGCAACATTTATCTGGCAGTAATACCATTATATTAGAGAGGCAACAAAATTAATGAAGTGAAGCAGTTCACTAATTTTTCTCCATTTTAGTGGAAAGAATACTTTTTTCTATTTTGTTTTTTTAGAAAAAGTTATTAAAAACAATACGGCAACATCAGACACATGCTTGTCTACAAATGAATCGATGTCAAGTATAGATAGATGGCCTACGTAGGTGATGACAACAGTATAATAAATTTAAATGTAAAACCAAAAATTGAGCGGATTAAATGTAAACAATGTAACAAAGATTTGAGCCTTTATTCTGACCATGGTCCTCATTTTCAGGTGTGAAAATGCCCCTAGATGCCCTTTCAGCCTTGTGTATAGTTTAATCCATCATTCAATAAATACAGACATCTTTGTAAAATATGAATTGATCACAAGAGTGATAAAACACATCATAGATATGATATAGTTTTAGATAATTACCTGGAACATCTCAGTGCTGATGAAACAAGTCAAAACATGTAAAGCTCTCACAATGAGTTTAGTGCTACCAAAGTAAGAGCAATTTCTGGATTTCCGTTTGGTACAGCAGTGTTGTTCATAAACATATCTATTGTCTACAGTGGACATTTGGTGTTGCAAGCATCACCTGACTTAAAAAGTCCATAGATGCTGACCAATGGGAACATAGATACTGCCCCCACCATGGAGCCCAACTGCACTACTGCTCCACACCACACCAGGGCACTGTGTCCCTCATCCCGCAGAATTACCCCAATGATGACCTTCACGTAGGACAAGGACAGGACGAACAGGATCCAGGTCAGCACCTGTATCACAAAAGAGATGATATCACATATCCAAACAACATCCAGTCTCTGTTACACAGCACTAAGGTTGCAACATGTCCTGGATTGATGTCAATATATTAGTTTGCTCAATAACTGTCAGTGCCTTGCATCATAAACAGGTCAGATCAGAAGGCTTTCACTACCATGTTTGATTTAACAATTTTTAACCATTTTGTGGTGGTAATTATTTACTCTGTATTACTATTAAGCACATTGTAACTCAGTTTAAAGTTGGTATTTTAAGTTTTTTTATACAAACTTCGGATTTGTTAGGTCACAAGCCCAACTGAAGAGAAATTGACTCAAACCCTCTCGGGGTTTGAATCTTTCAGCTCTCGAGACATGCTAATTGGAACCCTGATAACTTAATATACTTTGCATTAAAACTATAATTCCAAATGTAAAAGTCAGACCAGTTTGTGTAGACAAGCATCTGTCTTACAACCCTCTGATCATATAAACCTCCCAAATCAAAAGCAATCTCATGTACAAGAAAGAAGTGACTGAATTCATTTCAATAAAAAAGAGTCTTACTATGACTACAGTTCCAGAAGCACTGTGGACCAGCAGGGGACATGGACTAAGAGCAGCCATGGCCATGATGTAGGATCCGAATCCAGTCCCAAACATGGTCAAGAACCCCATGAAGATAAGAGACCTGGAAGCAATTCAAATTTTTAGTTACACCCTGCACTACTTGCCTTAACACCCTAAGAAAACCAAAATTATAAAAGTTGAAATGCATTCACAGTAAACATCTTAGGCTTTTGTCTCTAGTAGTGACCTGTAGGAATTACAGTTACGCTGAAAATTATCTTCTTTTTATAATTTTGGAAATGAGTGTTGTTTGAGACTGAAACAATCATACGTTTTTATATAAAGAAACCTTTGTGTTAAGAGGTAGCACTAATCATTCATTCTTACCTAATCGGCATAAACATGGCAATGAAGCAGGCCACTGGATTAGCGACAGCTGCCATGGTAGCAGCTAGGTGGTATGCCTTGTTCCCATATGGCAGACAGGAGTAGGACTGCACTGAGGGCAGCACTGCATTGGTCAGAGCATTGACCCAGGCCAGCACCACAAAGATGAACACCAGCTCGAGGTTGCTGTACGTCCCCTTGCCAAAAGAACTCCTGGGTTCCCCCCTGACTGCCTCCAATGGATTGATCATAGGTTTCTGCTCTGGTGTTTGAGCATGCAGAGACAGGCCTTGTTCTCTCTTACCCAGACCCAGATCCCCACTGAAGTAGAGGTCATTCTTCCTCTCCCGGGCCACAGCTGGGTGATGGTTGAGTAAGATGAAGGCTGCCAGGGACACGGCCATCATAATACTGAGGAAGATGAAAAAGACCTGGGCAGAAAACTTAGCCGGCATGTAAATAGCTTGTAGCTCAGAATTATCAGCTGTTTCGTTGGCCCCAACAGCCAAAGAGGCATTCTGACAGTGGACCACACCCACCCCTTGAATCAGAGCAACCAGTGCAGGCACCAGACCACTGAGGCCCTCACCTGCAAAGTATGTGGTGAGGTACTGTGGACGCAGCCGCATCATAAAAGGCAGAAAAGTAACAGAGGAGGTGCAGTCCACTACAGAGAGCAGGAAGCTTAACACCAGCAGGGGAACACTGTGCAAAGAGCCCCCTATTGTCACTGTGTGCCTCCAGAAGAAAGCCAGCAGGAATGTAGCGATGATCCCCAACCCCACAATGCAATAGATGACCGGCCGCTCATCCAGCACCCCTGGACGGAAGCGGTGCATCAGGGTGATGAAGAGAGGACCAATGTTGGCCATCTGGATTAGGACTGTGAGGTACGATGGCAAGTACCACCCTTCTGGGATCCCTGGTACGATGAGGGGGAGCTCCACCCACATCCCATTGATGGCCACCCAGGAGCCCATACCAAACAGACATGCCAGCACGTGGGTGAGCAGCGACATGTTGAAGGCAGGATGAGGCAGATCAGGAAATGTCAACGTCCACTCTCTGAAATGCAGACAGAATATGAGTCAGTTTGATTAGTAGAAGAACTTGAAGGATCCTTACAATCTGGTACATTTACATATGTTTCATATGAAGCACAGTTTGGTTGAGGGTTAGATTGATATTTATTGAAAATCTAAATATCAGCCTTTCAATTTAATACACCTTGTTTTTTTCTTAGTAAAACGTTTTATTAAACTTAACGCCAATATCAGCATGCTAACTGATGTTCAAAAAATAATTTGGAGGCTGAATTTAAAGGCCAGTTGTATTACTGCAACTCACGAAGCCATGAGGATGATGTTTAGTAACTACATATCAACAGTTTCAGTAAAGTAAAAAAGAAACATACATAATTTAATATCCAATATTTGTCAATGAGAATAAAAAACATGTCGCCCTTGAGGCTGGGATTGACTTTCCCAGTCTCCACCTGTTCTCTGCCTCTGATTTCATCCTTTCCTCATGTGAACTCTGGTAAGAGACGGCTGCCTGACCTTTCACACACTGACACACTGCTGCTCACATAAAGCCCCAAGTGGTCGTGACATACCTTACATTAAAGGCAAATGACAATGAAGGTGATATTTTTATTTTAACAGCTAAAAGATTGCCTCTTGGGGGAGGGCAGGAACTTTTACAGAACATTAAAAACACAATATGTATGAAAATGTTTATATCAAACACATAAGTAACATTTAAAAACAAGAAATTCCTCTTTCACAAAACTGCTTCATAGTCTAGTAAAACAATGACTTCTTGTCACACACTATGAAGCAGACAGACTAAACAGGCCTTGTGGCTCAAGGATAACCCAGCAATCCAATAACCCTGACTTCCCTTCATGCATCAGCTCTGTTCTGTCACAATGTTCAGTATCATCTTACCTCGTTCAGTACACAGCCAGGAAGTGACCACACTCCTCTGTCCATTCAAAAACCTCTCACTGCCGCAAGTGTAGATGTGTGTGCTTTCCCTTCCCCCTTTCACAGAGAGCAGCCGGTTTACTCTGCTTCCGTGTCTCCATTGCACTTGACAGGGGAGGGAGGGACTGCACAGGCGCACATGTCCTCAACCTCCATGATACCGTTGGAGGGTGGTTTCAAAATCCAAATGCTTCCAACCACATGGTCTATGTCTGTGTGTGTGTGTGTGTGTGTGTGTGTGTGTGTGTGTGTGTGTGTGTGTGTGTGTGTGTGTGTCCTGGTGCTCACCAATAGAGGGAGACTCAGTGAGAGGAGGGACTTAGCGAGAATAGCTCCTCCTTTCTTCCCTCCCCCAACCACCACACGACCTTGTGCTCTGCCCTCATTTAAACACACAGTAGCTTCACCATAAAGAGTCATAGTACGTGATATTTAAAATTTGAGACTGAAAATCTCTGAAGCATTGATTGACAACCAACATTCATGGTCCCCCCCAAGAGGTTGAAACTATTTGCAGTACTATTTCTTCTCGGCTGCCTGTAACATATAGGATGATTGGCTGTATGCCAGACTGCTGTAGAGCAACACAAATGAAAAGGATTATTTAGAGCATTACTCAAAGATTCTTCTTTGCATATGCTGTGCACAGTTGACAAATTTTGTTTTTTGTGAATTTAAAACATTTGAAATAATGTCGCCTTAATGCTGTTGTGCGTTACACAAATAAAAAAACACCAAAGTCAATTATTGAAGTAAAATGTGTGTAATAAAACCACATTTTAATGTCAAATTATACTTTTATGTATCATATAGAAGATACGATTGAAGTATGATAGCAACAATAACACATATTGCACAGTTGCATATACTGAAGCAAATCTTAGAGCACTTACTGAACTCAAGCTGAATTCTGAAAGACAGTATTGCAGGAAATCTGCCGAACCCATTTCCATTTCCAGATTAGTGACATATTTGCTCTGAGATAAGGCAACTGGTGTCGCAACCACTTTCATAGTTTTGAATTACAACTGTTCATCATCCCTTATTACACAAGATGCCACCTACCTGCTCGTGGGAGTGCAGAGTCAGCTGGGGAACAAGGACTCAAGTGCAGTGGAACCAGTGTCGAGAGTTTCTCTGCTCAGATGTGTAAAATCACTGTCTGTGAAGTGTGAGCGCACATTATGCTTTGTACTTAACCAGTCCACATCTCTGGATTTGTGTCATGTGACTGCTGAGGGCTGAGCCTGGGATCCAGTGAGGGAGCCAAAGTTCTCAACAGAGGGGGTAGGTGGAGGAAGGGAACAAGTGCATAAGGAAGGAAGGGAGGAGAGAGGAAGGATGGATGGAAGAAGGAGACAGCTTAGACAATTGTTGGGGAAAATGAAGATTCAGCTGGAAAAGACTATTACATGAGGTTTGTACCCACAACCTTACCCCAGCTTATCCAAGCAGAAGACGACTGTGGACAGCTGTCTGTGATTCTGTGAGTGGGTGTTTGGTCAGGGTCGCCTGGCTTTTGTTCTGCATGAATTCCAGCTCAAATGAATGACCCCTGTTGGGCAGTAACTTCACTGGATGGTATTTAGTTTGACTGCCCTTGTACCCACCTCTGCACTGACTGGTACTACTTGTTCCCTCCTTTAGACATAACAACAATGTTCCTTTGAGGCTTGTGTTGAAGCAAATTACTCTTGATACAGTAAATAATTTTAATTCGATCCTTCCAGGATGTGGGATTAAAGGAAATTTAAACTTCTGCCAAATATCAATTAAATCTTTGCTCTTTCCAGTCGTAGAAACATTCAGTTGTGTTGTTAATTAGAAGTTTGTGGTGTTTTACATGATAGATCAGGTTTAGCAGAGTAACTCAATACATACAACCAGGTTTATTTTTGTCAAGTGTCCTTCACAGAACCCAAACTGAAAATGACACTTTTGAGAAATGCAACATACTCTTTATAAGTAGATAAAATGGGACAATTGTGAAACACAACTCATTAGATTCATTATTTAGCACATTCAGAGGATTTTTTCGTTGACATATTGCAGTTGTTCCTATTATTGTTTGTTCCTAAGTATGTGTTTTGAGGTTCTGCAGAAAGAAGTTAAAGTTCCTTGGAATAAAATAAACCTGATAATACTGTGTGTGCTATATTATCTCTAATCTATAAAAAAGATTCTACATGTGAATCTGCAAATTCATCAGCTATTGGGTTTTAATTTATCTGCATATGAAGATCGCTGATAATTAAGAGGAGAAACAACAAAATTTACCTCTACCTGACAAATGATCACTACCATTGACTTCAGGAGAATTTCATCTGATGTCTGTATGACTAATAAATCAAACAGGTGTTTCCTGTTTCAGTTTCACCCTCTACTCTGTGCACACACAAAGTGCAGCGTCATGTATCAATGTCTTTATGGTTTAGCCACATTAGAACTCTGAAATCACATAGTTTTCCATGCTGTGTAAGACAAGCTTTTGAATGTTACTGTATATTTTGAGCTAGTTACTAAAATCATTAGAAAATGAGTGACCACCTCCATCATATAAAGAAGCATGGGAATGATGTCATTTATTCAACATTTATACGTTAAGCCAATGCTCCCGTGTTCCTAACATTTGGTAGACAGTGTATTGTCTGGTTGTGAGATGCATCTCATGATCTCTAATAAGAAAATAAAAGATAAAAGTCAAAATGTTGAGCAGATCCAAATCTTTCCACTTCTAATGACATCTGACTGTGTGACCTCACTGCTCTGATACACTCAACAACATCACATATCTATGAGAAAACACGCGCTGAGGTCCAGTCACAGGACGGTGTTTTGATAAAACATCAGAACTTTATGGGGCACTACCTTGACCCGATGGCTGTTTGTGTAGTACAATACACTGCTTTCTTTCTCAAAACTTCTGGGGCTCTGTGTTTAAACAAATATGTCTGTGTTATTGGTACTGCATGTACAGTGCTGGTGAGACTGAAAGATTCACTTGTTAGACGTCAACAGGAGGGCGGCCTTAGGCGGGGATCCGCGGATCAAATTTCTTCTTTTGAGAACTCATCGTTAAATGAAACACCAAACACAAGACAATGTACACCTGACCATTGACCTCATTCTGTGGTTATGGTGAGTGGTGAAGTAACTTTCTATTTGGATCAAAGTGTAACCCAGATTCACCTCGATATTACAACAACCAGATCTGTGCATTATACAGCAGCAGTTAAGCAATAGCAAAGGTTTCTTTAAGACCTAATGCAGTGCACTTGTGCACACTGTGTGCAAAGTGCAATGGATGATGGATGATTTGGAAGGATTCTGTTTTGATTACATACATTTTCAGTCATTACAGAGCAGTTGAAGGTGGTTTAATTATTATATTTATAATAACAATGCAACAAATATAGAGAATTACGTCAACAGAATTTCCTAGCTTCTTTAAACACATTGCTTTGGTTTTGGCTCCATAGACTGCCATCAACTTCTCTAATGTAATACCATGTCATTATATTTTTTCACATGCCATTATGGTATCATTTGCTAAATTCAGTCTTTGTTATCAGTGATGAGGTGGTCCATCTGAACGTAATATCATGAGTCATTAGTTATCAGGGCTCAAAGAGCTGTAGGTTTGGAAACATGTCAGTGCCACACAAATGTTTACAAATTAATCAGATTAAATTATGGTGCGCTCACTTCCTGTTTTCACTGCACGCAAGTGATCAAAAACTGCAATGATCAGAGCAGGAAGTGGACCTAATATCAAGATTCTGACAGTAACAGCATATGAACAGTATGAAATACTAAAAGCTTGAATGAGAGGCTGTCAGACAGGGGTGCTGGGAATGGTGCTGGTTCAGGAAGTCTCTGGCGTGGTCCCAGTGTTGGTGTGGCATGCCGAGTGGTTCGGCTGAGCACGGTGGCGTGCTGTAGGCAGGTGATTGGCAGAGCACGTAGAGGTGGTCTCCTGGCGGGGCAGATACGCCGATGAACAAACCGGCAGTGTGAACCACAACTTGCTGGCAGATGGGTTGTTACCTGAAGCAGGCGAAAACAGAAAGCATCAGTGGGCAGGCCCTTGCTGTCCCACTGAGACAACAGGCTTGAACTGGAGCCAATACTGAGACCATACTACCGCTTAGCTGAACTGTATAATCGGAAGACCGGGGTTCTTATACTGCAACAGGTGATTAGTGGAAACCAACTGCGAGTGTGCCAGGGACCTGCAGAGTAAAACCATGCCCAAAAATGACAAACCAATCACAAACATACTTATACATCACAAGCGATCAGTGTTCATTCATTCATTCAGTCATTCATTCATTCATTCACACAAAGGAGGGAGGGGCAGCCCATGATAAAACTAAGAAAGAAGAATAGAAACAGATACACAGACATTTAACTGATTGGGTTTTAATTCATCTGGTGATTTTATTTTATCCATCTGTGAGTGTTAAATTTGTCCCTTTTCTTCTTTGTTTGACATCTGGTGAAATAGCACATGAATGCAACACTGAAGTTTAAAAAAATGTTTTATTACAAAAAAGATTTATTTTGAAGTGGACTTCAATTTCTCAGTGACATTCTTCTACAGTTTCCCTAAATTAGACATCAGAATGAGTGCTGGGTATAGAAACATTTACAGTACAGAAAGATTAGGATGCATAGCAGTAGAAGTGAAATCTGTACAGCAGTACAGTAAACTATCAACCCTCTCCAAACATCAACACATTGCAGCTAAGAGAAAAAAGTACTTTATCGTGTAAAAACATTTTTGACCTTAAAAAATCGTTTCATAACTGCATAGACCAAATGTACATAAGCTACTTTCTTCAGCCTCAAGAATATCTAGTACAAAGGGACACTTACATAGAAAACAGCTTTACATAGGAGATAGAATATGTAAAGTACTGCTCCAGGCACATTGCAACACAGAGCAGGAGCAGGGTGACTGTGTTTCAGTAGTTCTTGCTAAAACAATGCATATTTGTATCTTCAGGATCATGAGTGAACATCAGAGGAAACAAATGTGAAGTCCCAAACACGTAGAGGATTTCTAACTGGACAGGAGAACTTAAAAATCAAATACCAAAGGCAAAACACCCTTAAAAAATACTAAATATATATACTGCTTTTGGTAAAAGATGTTTGAAAGGAAAGATAATTGACTCTGCTCAGCCATACAGCATCACCTCCAGTGCATTCTGCTCAAATTCCACATTTATTTGA